CAACTTTTTAGAAGTCCTCTCCACTCGTAGCAGTGCTTTGCCTCAGAAGCTCTATGTTAAGACGCCGTGTGGGCACAGTTTATGAAATTCTAATCATTTTCAGTTTTATACAAACTGCAGTAAATAGAAAAGCCCATATTAGGTGTGAGCAACGGTTTAAAAAAACAAGAGCCATTTGTACCTAGTTGTTGTTCTTTTCATTGTTTTTTTGTTTGTTTTTTTACATTAATCTTCCTCCAGGAGAATGAGAAGCTGTATTTACAGATGAAGGCTCAGCAGGCCAAGAGTAAAGCTAATGAGGAGGCCATGTTTAAAGAAAACCAGCGGCTGCTGAATGAGCTGGCTGCCACCAGGTGAGCGTCTGACAGACCTGTACGTCCCACACACATGTTGTTGTACCCATAAATGTGTGTTTATGTGCACTGTGAAAGACTGACCACTTGGAACACTGCGAGTCATACACATGTTCATGCATCGCTTCATTCTGTGCATTTAAGCACCTAACAGTGAAGCTAACAGTGAAGCTAACAGTGAAGCTAACAGTGAAGCTAACAGCGCGTGTTTGGGCTATGGAAGGTATTCAACACATAGGCCAAACCGGAGAGTCACTCGTGTTCAGGGACAGCAGCGCTAACTTTATTCAAAGTTTGTGAAGTAGGTTGTTAACAAATAGAGATCATAAAGTCCTCCAGATGTGGAGTGGGTGTTCTGTGGTTAGGGTAAACTTTTCTAACCTCACCAGGGAGCAGCTGCATAAAACTTCGAGGCCAGTGGGAAGTATATGCTTAACGGATCAGACTCCACGCATTGCAGACTTGTTAGCGCAAATAAACTCACTTCAGGTTAGTACCGCTCTCATCCACCTGTACTGTAAGGCTTGAAGGGCTATGTTAGCCTCTTTGATGTAGCACAGATGTGAATCTTTGTGCAGAGAAATGAGGCCAAGATGTCTGAGGACGTCCACAAGCTTAAGCAGGAAAAGCAGGCTCTGGAGGTGGACTTGCAGCTCATTAAGAAAGAGAGAGACCTGGCTGAAGCCCGAGCCACCTCCACATCGGGTAAGATAAAGAACAGTCCTGAAACAACAATGTTCATATTTTTCATCCCCTTTTCACTTCATACACAAACCCAATTCCAAAATGCTATAATAGGATAATGACAAGCCCAAGTTTGGAGCTTCGTCTTGCCTTCAAAACATGTAGAAATATGCAAAACTCTGCCAGTTTAAAAATGTGCTACCTTAGCAGAAACCCATAAATCAAAGTGGCAGCTTCAAATGTTGTGTTTGACCAAAGAGACTCACTTTAATGCTGTGTGACAAAGAAAAGCATCAAATGCTGTCAGGATTACTGCAACACTGAAAAGATGTGTAACCAGCTGCTACTGGTGATTTGTTCATAAAACCCCAAAAAGTATCAAACTGACAAATATGTCATTAAATGTATGATTCAAAGTGAAGTTGTCACCAGATGTGGGTAACATCTAATCCACACACAGATGTTCATGAACTCTGTGTAATAGTGACACAGATGAAAGTACTGAACGTGCTGACTGATGTTTACTTAACTGTTCGCACAAAAAGCCGTTGTTGGAGGCGACGGCTTCACGACGTCTCCCGTGTGGAGAAAGTATTCCCAGGTGTGCTCGGGCGGGATTTTGGCCCAAACTTCCACACAAACAGTCTTCAAAACTTGAAAGTGCTGCGCAGGCCCTTTCTATGACCTCTGACCTGTAGTTCTTTCCACTGACTTTAACCTGGATATGGGTCAGGTGATTGGCTGGGCAGGACACTTTACTTCTTTCTCTGAAGCCAGTCAGTAGTTTCCTTTCTGTACATCTACTGTCATTTCTTCGCTATCAGGAATGTCTCGGCACATTTTTCCCTTCATCCTGAAGTGTGCCAGTGTCACATGCTGAAACACCCTGGCCTTGGTGGTGCATACCTGTTGGCATGGTGTTTATTATGCATGCAACGAGTGGAACTATGGTCTCATCTGACCAGACTATGTTCGCCCAGTATTTCAAAGGCTTGTTTGATTGTTTGTCAGCAAAATTTAAATGTTTCATTTTGCTTTTTCTTCAGTAATGAACAGTATTGTGCATACAGGCCGTGTTTTTGAAACAATTGCAGGATTCCAGGTCTTTCTGTAGCTCTCCACAAGTGGCCCCTGGCTCTGCGATAATTCTGTTCACTGCTCTGTGGGGAGAACCGGCCATGACCGGGCGCTGGCCACTGGAACCTTCAGGATTTTAGAAATTCTTCTGTAACCAATCAGGATGTTTTACAACAATAGGACTGTGACGGTCTTGAGCTAGATTATTTGTTTTTACCCATCATGAGATGTTTCTTGATGGTCCCATCTGGCCTATAAAAAGGCAGGATTGCTTTCCAAGTACTTGTCTGTGTCACTCCTCATTCTTACACACAACTTAATCTGTGGACATTTATGTTTGATTTCTTGTAATGTGGGAATTAAGCTGGTGAAGCTTTCATGTCAGTAGCACCTTTAGAAATATATTTACTTAGGAAACTGGTGACATGTTCAATACTTATTGTACCTGCTGTGTATATGTGAGTAAGAACTGAGTGCGTTTCTCCTGAACGTGTTAGGAAATCAGACCTTTGAGATGCGTGTATTAGAGGACAGGCACCAGGAGGAAGTGACAGCCCTTAAGAAAAAACTGCAGTGGTTTGCTGAGAAGCAGGAGATGCTGGACAGAGATGCTGGCAGGCTGAAGGCTGCTACAGCTGAGATACACCAGCTCAGAGAACAGGTGATGCTCCGCTCTCACACGATGGTTACAGACTGATTTGTTTTGTACCCTCAATCTGCATGAATCCTCTGTCTGTGCTAACTACTTTTTATTTTAAATGATACTTGCAAAGAAAAGCGTCTGGACTTCTTTAAGTTGCTTGAAGACGTTTCACCTCTCATCCAAGAAGCTTCTTCAGTTCTAAGGTCAAATGGTGGAGAGTCCCAGATTTAAAC